TTCTGATCCAAATATGATTTGGATCAGCAACTCCTAATAGAATTAGGAGCTGGTCCCTTTAAGGTTATAAAAGGAGGAGGGGGCGACAGCCTTTACACACACTTCACATCCTGTCTTCAAAGCTGAAATTACAGAAGAGAGAATTCAGCTTCACTGCGCTAAGTCTCTCTTATCGCCTCCTTCCTACCACCGCTATATCTGCCAGTTCAATCTCCTGTTCTCAATGGAAGTGATCAAGATCAGATCTTGATATCAGTTCTTTGTGGAAGGACTGATTGGAAGTAGTGCTCACGTGCCATCCAGTTGATTCTTGCGAAGGATCTGGTTCTTTTGAAGAACGCTGTTGATTCTACTCCATCCTGCACTGCGCCATCTTTAGTGGGAGCAGTTTTTGGTTCCTTCCTTGGGCGTGAACACCTTCATTGGGAGATATTGTTTCTCCGTATCAGGTATATCCCTCTCCTACTGCTTTTGTTCAGATCTGGTTCGGTTCTTGGTTCAAGATTGATCCTTGAAAAATATGATTTTTCTAAAATAGGGAATACGATTCCCAGTAGGATGGAGAGAAATTTTTGAAATTCGCCCATTCTATTCTGCAAGATTCGGGCATCCATACGATGGATATCTCGTCCCTTCAGAAACAGTAAAATTAATTGAGTTAAAATTTAAAAATGTTGTTGTCTTTTAGATGCAATGATTTGATATGTTCTGAGAGACAAATTAATATTAATACTGAAGAGAATTTCTATTTTCCCAATTTATATGCATGTTAATTGATACAGTTAGGGAACTAACCTAGAATTTAGTTTTTCATTTGTAAAGTTCTATTGCCTAGGTAGTAGGCACCCACCTAGGCAACTAGGTGTTCCACTGCCACCTAGAATCACTTATGTGCCTTAACAATTGTGTTTCTCCTGGCCCTGGTGCCCCTCAAACTAGGTCCACATCTTGGGGAGAGTGTTGCTATAGGGAGAAAGCTTATTTGGAAAGAAAAACTCTATTTTGTTTTTGATATAACTCTTGTAGTCTTTTAGCTTTATTAGTAAGTTTTCTTTTACTCTCTTCACACATGGAAATAAGCATCTTGTTGAATTACATGAATCTTTGTGTCTTGTCAGGGTTCATTCTCTTCTATGTATTTTCTGGATTTCCCACCAGTCCCATGATCAAATATTTGTTTACCAAGTTCATATCATGATTTAGTACCGCACAAAACAAAAGTGCCTTCTACTTGAAAACATCATTGACATAATTAAACATGGAAATGGCCCTGTATCATATTAACTGAGAAGCATTGACAAAAGCACGTAAGTTTCTCACACAGGCTATCCCTACCTAATGTCTTTTCTAGAATGAAAAAATCATACTAATTCAAGCAACACAACTTAGGGAATACAAGTGGAGAGAAAAGCTACAAAAAACAACCAAAGTTCATTGTTACATCTATAAAATAGAAGCAAACAGCTACAAAATGCCAGGATTGTAGTTATTTCCATAACCTATCGACCTAATTCGATGAAAACATTCAAACTAGAAATTGATTATCATCTTGATTTAATTTAAAGTATCACAAGAGATGGAGGATGAGGATGCATCCAGAGTCTTATCTGATATGTGAATACCACTTAAAAGGAAAATTCCATAAAACAGTTGCTAGGCCAGCAATGCTATATCGAGCAGAGTGTTGGGCAGTCAAGAAACATGTCCAATAAAAGAGTGCAACAGAAATGTCTATGCTGAGATGGATGAGTGGACAAACTAGAAAGGGTAGGTCAGAAATAAAGCCATTCGAAGGAACCTAGGAGAAGCTCCAATAGGTGATAAACAGAACAGAATGAAAAAACAGTATTAATGCAGCTGACCCCATATAGTTGGTATAAGGCTTAGATGATGATGAAAGAGGGAAATAATAGTGCCAAATGTGTTTCTAGAATCTAGATACCTTAATATACCAAGAAGGCAAACACAAATAAAAATAAAAGAGGGGATTAAAATCTTCACATACATAATTTAAATGCATTAGAGAATCACCTTCAATTTTATATCTGAGTCTAATTGTGGTAAAGGTGCCTTTTCAATAGGCAGGTCTTTTATTTCATCTAGGAAATATTCTTCCCAAGGTGCAAGCAATAGAATGCCCTCTCCTTCCTTGCCTTCACGCCCTGTCCTTCCAAGACGATGTATGTACTGCTCCCGGTCAGAAGGAATACCAACCTAAGGATCAAGAAATCAGAAATCTTTACATTAAGTGTACTCACACAATGTTATGTTCAAGAATGATACACACTACTGAATAATCACTGAATCACATGAATTTACTTTTCTGTTTGGATGCATTTCACTAGCTGCTCTATTAATTCATATACAGTCTTCTTATGATGAACATGAAAATTCTATGAAGTGTCAATGATAAAATACTCTTCATAATGTGTTATTATTAAGCGCATTTCACTAAAGTCATGCATAATGCATACAGTACACATACCTACAGAAAAATAAAGGCCTCAAAGCATAACATATTAGTATTATATACTGGCTGTGCATTAAACAAGGCAGTACAGTGACAACATGCCAAGTTTCATTGCTACCTGAATCACCAAAGTAACATCAGGATAGTTCATTCCACGAGCTGAAACATCAGATGTTACAAGAATTAGTCGCTTTGATTCACGAAATTCATCAGATATGCGGGTTCGGTAAAGTTGAGTTTTTCTAGAATGCATTTCTCTGACATTCATTTTCATCTCCCGGAGAAGTAAGAACATGAGGGATGTCACCATTGCAGTTGTACAGAAAATAATAATCTGTGTAGGTTGAACAATGAGACTGTAAGTATTAATTTATCTACAAATAAGAAGAAAACTAGAATATATACCTTATAATCAAGCATATGCGAGATGTGCTCTTTCAAAAGATGGTGTACTATTTGAAAATGCAGTACGTGTGGTGCAACCAGATACGACTGTTTAACCTGCATTCAACAAGCCAAACTTACAACCATATAGTTAGCCATGGCAAGGTTAGCAAAATTACTTACTATCAAGATCTGGAAGTTGTCAACCATCAATAAAACAAAAAGTAAGGTATTCATATACATTGAAAAGTGTGTTAGAGAAACATAGTGATAACTTGAGCACATAACATAAACTGCAACACCCCTAATTGATTGACAAAACTACTTATTTTAAAAGAGAAACACCCCTATATATTAACATATCGCCATAAACAGAGTTGATCCAGCTTTATCAAAAATAGCATCTGCGAAACCAGCATTCTAAACAAACACAAATCCTTTATAATATTGAAATAACAGAACCTCTAACTATATACAACTACCAATACTGTAAATCTTGAATTGATTTTAGGTACCACTGCATTTGAGAATAGTCAAGATTACATAGAAAATATATAGAGTAATCCTGTGATAATTAATTAATTATGATATCACCAATTCCTTCTTTTTGAGGATGGCCCTTTTTTGAGGTCCTTTTTGTACAGCTTCTCAATGTACACAGGACCTTTTATTAATACAATCATACTTTACTTTTTCTCAAAAATAAAAAAAAAACTATATCACCAATTCCTGTTTGCCTTTTCTTTTCCCCTGTTCTTGTACTAAACCACAAAAAACTCCTCGGGAAGCAAGTCATAATAATCATTTGATGCTAGATAGCTCAAAAATCAGAAAATCAGTACAGAAGATGCATCATGCATAATACCTTGGAATGAGTTTCAGTGCCGCCCAACCCCACTGTGTCAATACAAGCATGTTCCCTTTTCAAAACAAGTTGTGAAATGCGACGCACCTGTGAATTCAGCAAAAAAACAGCATTATATTTTAACTATAAAAGAAAAGGAAGTAGGATTTTTTTGAGGATGGGGGCACCTCTTTCGGAATTGTAGCAGAGAACAGCAATGACTGCCTTTGGCGTGGCACACAGTCAACAATTTTCTCTATATCCTTCCGGAATCCCAAATCAAGTAAGTGATCAGCCTCATCTAGTATCAGCATTTTCAGGCCCATCAAACGCACAGAGAAGCCAGATTTATTCTCTATATGATCTAACAACCTACCAGGGGTTGCAACTATAATCTGCAACGTTCAATGGATAACATGAAAATCAATACTAAAATGCATAGATGTGACAAATAAGAACTAAATGAGAAATGCTAGGGTGTTAATATAAATTGTTCTAATGTCCTTCCACTATTTTTGACATTACAACTAACACTTAAAAGTAAAATATCAGCAATATATTGATAAAAATCAAAATGATGTGGTTGGAGACATCAAACATAAAAGAGACTCATAATCTACTTAGGAAACTGTTAACACTTTTGTATGCTTATGAAACATGTGGGTTCTGGATGGGATAAATAACATTTAATATCAAGTAACCTGGCATGGATGGGATTCTAGGCGCTTCAGGTCATCCTTGAACCGTGTACCTCCAGTTAATGTTTGGACACCTATCCCGTCATGGTACTTTAGCATGACATTGGCTTCTGCAGCAATCTGACTAGCAAGCTCCCTTGTGGGACAAAGAATGAGGACAACAATTGGTGGCACCCGTTGACTTGTGCTGTCACTTGTGGTCTTCGGAACTGCTTCAATTGCAGGAAGCTGTTTTCATTTAACAAGGGCATTGGGAAAAAGAGAAAATAAAGAAACAAGAGAAAAAAAAATGATAGATGAGATAGCACAAAAGTAGCATATGATTTACCAGAAAGGCTGCACTTTTTCCTGTGCCAGTTTTAGCTTTGACCAAAACATCCTTGCCTGCTCCAAATTGCACGATATACATCATTTAATTCACAAAAAATAGTAACCCATCAATGTTTTATCAGAAGAATCTTTCCTTAAGAAGAAACAACTCATGTATCAGAAATGACTCAGATAGGAGCTACAAAAATGCATATACAAAGATTGGAAAAAAGGTAGAATGATAAATAACAGTCAAATTTAGCAAATATATTAACATGAATAGCATGTCATCGGTATGTTGATATCCATTACCAAATGCATTAATTGATAGGAGTATGTAAAAAGTAGAAACACCCAGGATTTTTGTGGAAGAAAATATTCCTCTCCCACAATAAATACATATAACACCTCAGTTAAACAAATCAATGTCCTTTCTTTATTTTTTGATGAATAATGACCTTTGTTTATTAGTAATAAGGTTTTCTTGAACGAGTTGCATTGCAATTATATGATAAAAAAATTTCCAGGGTATGCAACATCAAGAACTTATGGGGTTTGGAGAGTTAGTATGCATGCATGTATGCATATGCATGCATCTGTTTTCCACTGAGAACATAAAAGAACAAACTGATGCACCAGCAAAGATCCAGTTTAAAAGAATTGAAAAATCCAATACCATCAAGGCAAGCAGAAATAGTGGCCTCTTGTACCATGGTCATTTGCACATAGCCAGCTAACGAAAGTGCCTTTATTGTCAATGGAGAAATGCTGCATTCGTCAAATCTGGGAAGAAACAAAGAGGTAGGGTTATCCAGATAATACTTAAACATTAAAGATAAATTAATAAAGTGCCACAATATCCAGCCCAAATGCTATGGTCAATTTCCACATAATGGAGGCTTTCAACTCCCTTTTGCAAGTTAACATTGTCAGTATTGTAAAATTGTCAACCACATTCAAATTTTCAAACAGATAAAAGATAGGTAGGTCCTTCCAGAGATTCTAGCTGTAGCTTCAGCTGGTGCCTGGATCCCAAGAGAGTTTAATCATGTGGCTGATCAGTTATCTAAATCTGATTCTGAGAGGAATAGCAAGTATAGTGGAAATACTTTACCTATTACTTGAAAGGGCCCTTTTATTTTATTTATTTACTTTTTTTGTAAGGCCCTGATTTTAATATCCTTATCATGTACTCAACTTTTCTTTTTGAATGAAATGTTAACCTTTCTCAAAAGAAAAAGAAATAATAAGAATAAGTAGAAATGAATACATTCCGAACCTGTCTCTAAATTTGATCTATTCTCAGAACTTGGTTTGAATTAGGACTTTGGTTTTAGAAGGGGCCTGAGAGATAGTGAGTGTGACTCCCTTGTTCTCCTACTACCAAAGATGAAAATGTCTTTTTGGACCCTAATATCTCAGATGGAAGAAATCTGGTGCAAACCTATCCTTCCCAATCCCCAAAGTATAAGCTTTGTGTTGGGAAGTGTTCCTTGGAAAGATCAACACCTGTGACTTGCTACAAAAAAAAGAAGGTTAAACAAGTGCCTCTCTCCTCATATGTGTATCCTTTGCAAGGAAAGTGATCAAACTCTTCCTCACTTGTTATTTTCTTGCTCCTTTGTTTCTGGTATTGGAAACACCTCTATTCTCTCTTTGGTTGCAGATGGGTACCCCCACATGATGTGGTAGGCTTGTTCAACTCCAATTTCTTAAGGCAACAGAAAAAGAGAGGAAGAACTTTATGGAGGGAAGCAAGAGCAGTGTTGGAAAGGACAACATGGGAAGAAAGGGATCAGAGAACCTTTAACAAGAAAAGCAAATCTAAGGAAGACTTAATTGAAGCCATAACAGTAAGAATGGCACGTTGGGTAAAAACCTTGGATCTTTTTAGAGAATTCTCAACAAATGACACATTAAGATCCTAGAGTGAAGTGGCACAAACAGTCAGACCTGTTGAAAGTCTAAAAGATTGGATTGGAAACCTCCAGCTATGAATAAGCTAAAGTTGAACTTTGATGGAAGCTCAATGGGTAATCTAAGAAGAGCAGGAATAGGAGGAATCTTTAGAAAGTAGCTTTATTTTCAGAACCAATTCGTTTTGGAGATTCAGTTCAGACTGCAACCCTGGCTCTCTTACAAGGCTTGAGACTTGCAGTACAGCTAGAAGGGAATTGGAAGTTGGAGACTCACAATTAGTCATCTCATGGACCAGGAAACTCAGTTCAGCTCCTTGAAGATACAGAAATGCTTTCAGGGAAACTGATATCCTAGCAAAGAGATTCAATTCTACTTTTAGCTGGTAAGAAGAACTGCAAATGGGATGGCAGATATTTTCGCAAAGCAAGGAGTTGACAGGGCCTAGTTTATTTTGGGCGAAGTTGTAAATGTGATGTACTTTGGAGCTCCTATGTAACTTGGGTTTGAATTTTGGAGGATGACACTCTGGTCATCAAGTTGTATTATCTATTTCTTTAATCAAATCTAATGAAATCTATTTTCTGCTGATCAAAAAAAAAAAAAAAAAACATAACCAACCACACGTACTGTTTCTTTCTGCTATACCCCATAACATGGGCAATAAATAATTTTTTACTATGTCCTCAAAAAAAAATGACCATGATAATTATCAAAAAAAAAAAAAAGACCATGATCTTTTCACCATAGGATTACAAATCAACCCAAATGTTACACCACGAATCATATCATAATTTGCATACCTTTTCTGACTTAGAAGCGATTCCTCCTCATTCTGTTTACCAACGTCTACTAAATTTCTATGGTTCAGCTCGTCACGGATTGACTGAATTTGACTGGAAATATCGCTTTCATCTTCGAGCAGCTTAGGAACTCGTCTCATTGTCTTCATATCATAATTTCCCAAAGTAGCTCTGCTCATCATTTTCTTTGGATTCGTTCTACCTTTGAAATCCAAATCCTCCTCTGGCTCCTCTTCGCTGAAGTTAAACCTCGGCCATCTTGACTTTCCCATAACTTTTCCCCGTACTCCCTTGGGTTCACCAGCAAAAGGCTTTATTAAATCATCTTCCAAACTGAATTTATCATCATCTTCACTAGATGAACTCTCATTTCTAAGATATCTCAATCTAGGCCTCGGTTTCCTTCCCACTGTAACCGAATAATGTCTAGGTCTTGATGAATCAAAAACTGACCTCGGACTAGCACGATCATCTGTCAGACTACGCCTATCCCCCCCAATCAGTTTTCTCAAATCAATAGGGGGTTCGATTGCCTGATGCCTCCGATGAGAACGATTAGGAGCTGACTTCAGCGGCCCATCGTCTTCATTCCAAAGATCTTCAGCACCTTCCTTCATGAACCGATCAGCGAGAGCCTTAATTTGATCGTTGGCGCTCATCGATTTGAAATTTGAGGCCGATTTTGGATCCAACGACGGCTGATCATCGGATTTTCCAGCGAGTTTAGCACGGATTTGAGATCTGATTCTAACCTGGTAAAGCTGTTTTTCCTGCTCAAGAAGTTTTTTCTCCTTCTCTTTTGCTTTCTTCTCATGTAGGCGTTTCCACTGCCATTTGTTCAGACCGCCAGGAAATGTCCGGGGGCCACCGCCCATGGAACGGACAAGCAAAAGGTTGCAGAGGAGTTTCGGTAAAGTTGTAGAGTGCTCACGAAGCCGAGATGAATACATGGAGCCCCGTTTCAAAGGAGCATGCAGAGACGAAAGAGTAAGGTAAGGTTTCAGTGAGGTTGAGCAGGGTTTAGGGTTTTAGAAACCCCTAGCGTATACAGTGTACTGATGAATCTGCCCCCCACCAGTTTGCGCCCCAAAACGTCCCACATCGTTAGAAGTGGCCGCGTGTCGTCTCACACGCAAAAACCTCATTCTCATGCGAAGCTAACAGGACAGCCGTTAGCTCATTCCGTTAGCTCCAATTTCACCTAAAACCGGGTGTCACTCCCCTCTTCCCGCTCATAGTCGGTCCCTCACTCCTCATTCTAAAACTCAAACAGCCCCACCTCCTCCCCTCCCTCCGATAGACAATTGTTCCGGAAGATACATCGGAGTTATGCTGTTTGGATCTCTCTCAGCTTGAACTGTCTCAGATTGTCGAGGCTTATAAACCAGCCTCTTGTTTGTCTGTGCCAGAAAACCAACGAGTTCAAAAGTTGGTTATTAATGAAAATTTTTGGTGGGTTTCTGGTTTTGAAGAGAGATTGTTAATGGGTATTTCGTTTGCTAATATTTATGCTCAATATTGTTTGGGTCTTCTGGTTCTTCCGCCACCAGATGAAGAGGGCGACTGCTAGAACGAGAAAGGAGGAACTGCAACGGCTAGTTTCTAGGCCTTGCTTTTTCCAGAAAATGGTAGAGCAGAGCTTATCAGATTGACAGAAGTGAGAAAGAAAGGAGAGGAAGAGAGAAAGAATGGGAGAGATACCGTTTGCTGAATCTATGGAGTGTGGGTGTTCCAGAACAACACTCAGTGGTCGGGCTTCAACAAATGAGCGGGTTTCCCATAACACTGGAAGACAACACAAAAATGGAAAAGTGAGAGAAACCAGAGCAGTAATGGAGGAAATTAAAGATGGCAAGAGTTGCAGAGAAATCTTAGTTGAATGTTCTGGCGGGAAACTTGGGGACTAGACCACTGAGTTGTTGAAAGACAAGTCTCTTAGTCGTTGTAAAACGAAAAGAGATGACAACCCTTAATCAGTTTTTGTTTGAAAGAAGCTTTTTCTTGTGCAGAAAGTGATCAGAAATTGTGGGAAGTATTTTTCTAATTTCAAGACATTGAAACCACAGAAGAAGGGAACTAATACTCACAAGAAAGCAAGCTGAGGGATTTTCGCTTAAAGACACTGGGAAAACTCCAAATAAGCTGTTATTATTCAGCTTCCTACTCGTTTAGATGCAAAAGAAACAAGAACAGAAAAGAAAAGATGAATTGGAGAAGACCAATTAAGAAAATTGGGCCAGAGACTCGGGAATCTTGCCGGAGAACCGATTATTGGAAAGATTCAATGTCTGAAGTTTGGCGAGGCTTTCGAGCTCCGTCGGGATTTTCCCAGAGATGTTGTTTGTAATAACTTGCAAATTTCCACCAAAAACCCAAATATGAAAATAAAATCAGAATGGGTGGTCTTTTATTTTCCTACACTTGATAAGATTTGTAAGGAGATAGGGCGGTCTGAGGTCGAGAGGAGTGCAAGAGCGACTGAGCGAGTATGAACAGGAAAGAGGAGAGTGAAATCCGGTTTTGGATGAAACAGGAGCTAACGGGACGAGTTAACGGCCTTTCAGTTAGCTCCGCACGAGAATGAGGCTTATGCGTGTGGGAGGACACGCGGCCACTTCTAACGTTGTAGGATGTTTTTGGGGCGCAAGCCGGTGGGGGGTATATTCGAACTCGCGTGTATATATATGTATGTATATATATTATATATATTATGTATGTATACATATAATATTATTTATATTATATATATTAAAAAAATATATTTCAAAAATCCCCATTTATTTTAAATAAAATAGTCTTCCAAAAGAATTTTAATTAAAAACTTTTACGGATTCGAGTCCCTTATGGGGAACTCACCTCCATTAGGGATCAAGGATGGAACTTTTATCCCCAACAAGGATTAGGGTCTAGAAGGAATTTATTTCTAAGTTGGTGTTAGGGATGGGAGGATTATGGTCCTCGTCCCATTACCATTCCTAATTGCATATAGGAAAAAGAGAGGAAAGTGGGGGTAAAACTGAATTTTTAATGAAGTCTAGGACACATGTGATGTCACATGCAAACAGCCCAAAATGTTTTAATGGAGAGCTTTTTTGTGTCAAGCGGAACCACCCCACAAGTAGTGCTTTAAAATGGGTTAGAGTCACCAGTGGCCTACCCGAGGAATTAGCCATTGGGGCTTACAGAAATACCCCCAACAGCTATATAAGGGATATTTATGTATTTTGGCTTTGGGGAAGAAAATGATAAAAATGCCTCCCAACAATTATATAACAACTAATTAGGGGCATTTTGGGTAAAGTGATAATGACTTTATAATGACCAAACACCCCTCTGAACAACTAAAAATTGACTAGTTTTTAGAGTATTTTATGCCAATGAATTATTTTTAATTCCTATAAATAGCTCACTTCTTCACCACTCTCACTATACCAATTCAACAATGCTCTTCTCATACTCTCTCTACTCTCCAATTCTCAAGTCTTGACTTTTTTCAAGTTTCAACAAAAAAAGGTTTGTTCAAGTATCTCAAGTTAGCAATTTGGGAGGTTTGGAGGCTTCAATCGTTGAAATCAAGTTGAAATTCTAAACCGATTCGAACAAGTGCAATTAAATTATTTTTTTAGAATTAAAAAATGGCCAACTCCTCCCAAAACCAATTCCCCAGCATGTTTAGTACCAACGGTATTCGGTCACAACATGATAGCATTAGCATTGATATGGATGCTATTGAAATTGTCAGAGTTCCCACCCCTAATATTGGTACTATTTCTATGGGTAGGAAAAAGAAGGGGACTAAATTGACTAGCCTAGTTTAGAAACTATGTAAAATAGAGGAGGTTGAGAGGGAGAGAAAATGGTCGTTTGCCAAAAATATAGGAGTGACTTTAGCTATTATAGTAAAGGTTGTACTAACCACTTGGGCAGACATCTTCTTACCCATGAGAAATAAGAAGAAGAAGAAGGGAAAGAAAACTCCTAAACACAAATTAGGAGGGGGTTTGGTGTTTTTAAATATTCACAAGAACAAATGAGGCAAGAATTGGGAAAATATATTGTACATGTTGAACAACCTTTTTTATTATCTAGTGATAGTAAACTTCAAATTTTTTTACATAATTATGTAAATCCTCAATTTAAAAAAAGTTTCTAGAAATACTATTAGAACGGATGCTTTGAAAATGTTTTATTCATATAAACAAAATTTAATTTCTATTTTATCAAATCTTAATTATGGAGTTGCAATTACTTCTAATACTTGGACTTTTAAATTTAACATAATTTATATTTGTGTTACTGATCATCTTTTTTATCAAATCTGGCTTTTACAAAAAAGAATTTTAAGCTTTACTGAATGGCCACATACTTGCCCAGCTATTGCGACAAGTATTTTAAATACTTTACATGTTTATGGAATTGACAATAAACTTTTTTCTCATCATATTTCTAAAATTAAAAAATATATTATATATATTAAAAGCTCTAGAGCAAGAAAACAAGAATTTAAATATTCATGTCCTAATTATGGTTTAAAATCTAAACATTTTATGTTAGATGTTCAACTTAGATGGAAATCTACCTATTTTATGTTAGGAAATTGTATTCCCTATAAACAAATTATTTTTTATTTTTATAATTAAAAAATGCCACATGATATTATACTAACGAAGATTGGGAAATGGCTATTTGCATAAGAAATTTTTTACACAATTTTTATGATGCAACTAAGGAATTTTTGGGTGTTTATTACCCAACTAGTTGCCTTTTAGTTAATCAATTATTCGTGATTAGTGAATGTTATGCAAAATATAAAAAATCCACAATTTAAAAGTACTATTAAAATAATGAAAAATAAATTTAAAAAATATTAGGAGAACATTTCTCCTCTTTGTTGTTTAGCTACAATATTAGATCCTAGGATTACAAAATACGGTGTAGATATTTTACTTGAATCATGTTGTGAAAATATGAACATTGAAATTGGAAATCAAAAAGAAAAAGTTAATAGTTTATTAGTTGAAATGTATAGTTTATATGAATTTAATATGGTAGGGAATAAAAAATCTACAATTTGTAGTACAATTTTCACTTCTAAAACAACTAATTCTAGTAGTGCGAAAGATAGAGTTTGGTCTTTAATAAGTAGGAAGCAGAAATTTGCTACCACTTCATCAACATGTTCATTTACTAAACTTAATTTTTAGTTACAAAAAAAAAAAATTCTAGTTCAAGTGATTCCTTGTCACCATGGCACATAATCTACTAACCCCTCCAGAGGACATTATACTACTCTTGATGATTCACTTGAAGCAGATGATCAAAATCAAAATGAAGATGGATGTGGAACTTGAAGAAAGATAATGAAGACAATACTTTTTGTATATTCAATAATTTTGTACATTTTTTGAATTTATTATAAATTTTGTTATTAAATTTTGTATTTTTATTTAAATTATTTGTTATTTTTTCAACAATGTAATTTTAAATTTTAAATTTGTAATTGTATTATATTTTTTATATTTTATTCCATTTTAAGTATTTTTTTACCATTGTATTGTTCAACTTTCAAATTTCAATGAAATAAAATTCCTATTTTTTTTAATTTGTTGTCCATTTGGCATTTTGTATTTTGTTAAGTATTTTTTTAATTTCTTTGTTAAAATTTTTATTTTTTTTCAATTTGTTCAATTGTTCCTAAAGGAAAGTTAAGTATTTTAGTTTTACTTAACAAAAAAATCAAAATGTCAAAAAAAAAATGTTTGGCATGGTTTGGCTCAAGCTCGACCCATAGCCCAACTCAATAAGGCCTAGGCCTATAGCTCGCGGCCTGGCACAGCATGGGCCCGCATGGGCTCGGGTTGTGGGTTGTGCCAAGCTGACCGCCAACTTATCCCAAGGGAGGGAAGCACGACCTATGTGCCGACACGACATGGGTTGTGCTATGCCTGACTTAGAGCTCTACCCACAAGGTGTAGTCAAGTAGTTTTAAAAATTATATATAGAGCTTGTTCAAGTAGTTTGTCAAAATCACAAGGTATATTTAAATAATTACTTTTTTTAATGGGCCACATTGGGTGGAAGCCAAGTGAGTTGGGTTGGATTTAATTTGAACATATGCCAAAACCTAATAATTGGACATAAAACTTGAGCCTAGACCAAGCCCCATTTACCCAATTCAGGCCGATCTACACTGTAATTTGATACACTCAGGCCCTGTTTGCTTTTTGGTAAGTTACTTACTCAAGTAAGTGTTTCCTAGGAAACCCTTTCCTGGGTAAGTGCATTTGCCCATGTTCTTTTATTTTCCATGTAAATAATATAATGACCATTTTAGCCATAAAAATTCCATTATCAAAAGGGACATTTTTGTCCCATCCAAGTGCTGGAAACTTTCCCCTACATGGGAAAGTTAATTTACCCACCTAAGAGATGGGTAGATACGTAGGTAAATAAACTTTCCCTGGTCAAGCAATCCTATTGACCAACTTTCCCCTTCTCAAAATTCCAAAAACGAATTCCCCCTCAAGGGATTTGAATTAGTTGTAGAACCAACGATAACGCCTTAAATAAATTACATGGAATGCCCAATGAAAAGTTTAATGGTTGTGGGAAATGTATTTTATGAATGATGTAGAGCATTATTATTTAGGGTTCGACTATGATAATGGAAAAATATAATATTGAAAAATGTCTGACCAATCAATTGAAATCATAAACGTGGTAATCAACAAGGTGTTGTTTTATCAAAATTTATTTGTAGGTTTTGATTGATAAAAACTCTTTCCATACCATGTCTTTCCTGTATCATAGATTTTCCCTATTATTAATTCCACGGACCGATGAATGACTATTGTGTTTGATAAAACCAATCTCATTGTTGACAGGTATTTGTGAATTCTGTTCTTTGCCATAACACTCTTTCTTTATGATAGTTACTAGTGGGGACCCATGCAATGCACTAGATTTGTCAAAAATAATAAATCTGATAACTACAATGTTGTTTAAAATAATTAATCTTTATTTTTGTGCTTTGTTTCAAAAATAATAAATTACTGCCTGCCCTCTTTTTGCAAGAGAGTTGCTCACATGATACAAATATAATCAATGGTTGATAATGATTAATTTGTTATATTTTTAAAATAATAGAAAATAGAAAAATACAATAAATTGAGAAAATAGATAAATATATTCTCTTAAAAGATAGGCATGTTGACATGGACCGTCTTAAAAGAGTATTTTTTTAATAAATAGCAAATTTTCAAAAATTATTTGAAATGAATGATAATTTAGTGCAGTGTGCCAAATGAATGGATGGAAATGGAACCCACTAATTGCTATTTATTTAAAAAAATACTCTTCAACTTTTTTTTCTAATTCCTTTCCATTTATTCTATTTTCTTATATCTGGCAACCAAGCAAATTCTAACAGATCGTCACTTCTCATGTAGTCATATGGAACTAAAGGAAGAAAAAATCAAAGCCAAAAATACTGCTTTAAATCAATGTTTTCAAAACTGGACCAAACTGGAAAAACCGGGAACCGATCACCTCTGTTTCACCCCAAAACCACATTTTGGCCAAAAACCACTGATTTGGTTAGTGAACTGTTGGCCTGGGCGATCGAACTGTCGACCCGAATAATGGTTGTTGATTTTTTTTATTTTTTTTGCCAAAGCAGGCCTTGGTCCTAACGATTGGACCATTTGACCCAAGAACCAAACCCATAATGGTTCATGTCTAGTCTGGTTTTAAAAACCTTGCTTTAGATCAAGGACTTTTTTACAAAAAATAAAATAATCTTTTATTAATTGACAAAATCAGTGACGTATTGAGGAAAAAACCGTTTGAATCATGTCAATGATTTATGGGTCATGAGGGCATCTATAGTGATAAAGCATGACCCTAAAATTAGAGCTTTATCACAGAAATCATTGACTAGTAGGATGCTTACCTGTTCGGTTAACCAAACCATGGGACTATTTTTCAAATCGAATAAGTACTACCGGTTTTGGAAAATTATGAACCAAAACCAATCGGTTAATTGATTGATCGGTTTAGATTTTGAGTGGTTTGTTTTTTTGGATTTTCAGCTTTTGATATTTATAATATATATTATAAATACATATATAAATATAAGAATACATAACATATACTATATTATAAATAATAAATAGTATATTATATATTACAAATATATATATATATAATATATAAAATATATATGAAAAATATAATATATACTAGTCACTTCAGTTAACTAGTGATTTTTCATATTGGTTAGCCAAAGCTGAACCAATATTTTTGGTTTTTCAAAAATATTGATTACTGAACCAACCAGTTTAATTAATCAGAATTTTCATTCGATTTCATTGGTTCAATTTGATTTTTTGGTTTTTCAGTTTTTGATAAACACTGCTAATGACTGGATCATGCTTGGCCATTGTCCATGGTTTTTGCTATAAAAAGACTCATCATTCCTGGATCACGCTCCTGGAATTAGAGCTTAACATCACCCTCCATCGATCAATAGGGGTGGATTTGAGCCAAACTGATCTGAATAACTAGTTTTTCGATCTTGGCTCGCCAAGATTGTAAGCGATTCGAGCTCGATTCGAGCTAGAGACATGAACTCAAGTAAAAAGCTTATAAGCTCGAGCTCAGCTTAGCTTGAGCTCAATTGTGAGTCAAATGCTTTATAAAAGTAAATATATATATATAATTTATTTTTTATTTGATATTTAAGAATTTAATAATTATAACAATTAGTTATTATTATATATATAAAAATAAAAATATTACATATGTATGTAGAAGCTCAATTAGGCTTGCGAACCTCACAAGCCAAGTTATATTAGACTCGAGATTAGCTTGATTAGCAAACAGGTCTATAAATTGGGCTCGAGCTTAACTCAAAACTCGGTTTAAACCAAACCGAGCCGAACTCAAATAACTCATAAAAAACTCGACTCATTGCCACCCCTATCAATCAGTACCTTTTTCTTTCCTTTTTCCAGGACATCCTATGTTTTCTACTACAAAAGCTAGATTTTGCATTGCTGCGCCTTAGCTAGGATTCTAATCTTCTCCACCACCTTAATTCTCTCTTGTTTTCTCCATTATCTCTCAGTCCCAGAAATCTTGGGTTTTTGAGTCTTTATAGCTGTTTTTAGAGTGAAGGAGTTCTTTCTCTACCGTCAAGTTCCCAACAAAAGCAGAGTTCTAGGATCGCCACAGGGTCTCAAATTGCCAGATAAACGCTAGAAGCAATAGAGAGCTCTTGGTGGGTTTTCTCTTTCTGTTAAGGCTCAGTTTGGAAAGAGTACAGATGCAAATATGTACAACGTAAATACATACAAAAAATAAGATTTTGCATTTGTACTCCTTCCAAACTCAGCCTTTTAAAAGGATTCCAAAAATTTCATGACTTTACGTCAAGACAAGAACAGAGCATAATGCAGAAATTTTCGACGAGAAAGGGCAATCTTGTCCAAAACTAAACTTTATTTTATGGGCTCACTGATTTGAAAAATATAACCGATTTATCAATCGATGGAACTTTTTTTTTAAGAAGTCCTTAAATCTCTTTTGGATTAAACCAACAGCCCATGCTTAACGAGTTGACATCAGCTGCAATCATGGTCAAAGCAAATTCCTGTGACAGCCCAGTATAATATGAAAATGCAAGCGATCCAATCAAAATCAAATTAACATTTAAACTATAAAAATAAACAAAAATCACTAAACCATCTATGTGTCTCTCGCAGTGGAGGACTTGACTATTAATAAGGCAATAATGATGATGGGCATTCCCATTCTATGACAACCAAAAAATATTTTCTTCCATTCAGACACAGTTCAAAACCAAAGAAGTATTGAATATCTAATGCAATTGGATGGAGCACCATTCGATTGGTTAAATTTAATTTCCCTCTCATGGTATTAACTATTATCGCTCAGTTTGGAAAGAGTACAAATACAAATCTTTTGCAGTATATATTTGTATTTGTACTCTTTCCAAACTGAGCCTAGAAACAATCCCCAGTCATTTCTGCAATTCTTTCTTTATAGTAAACAAGAATTTTACCGAGAGAAACCTATAGAATTTTCTCTTTTCCATCATTAAGAAGTTAATAATAATATTTCAGGATGATGGTAGACCATTTAAAACCATGATAAATCACAGAAAAAACTAATTATTCTGATTACGTATAATTACACCAAATCTATCATTCTTAAATAAATTTGTTCACCAAAAAGGAACTGCGTCTACTACAAACTAAGTTTTAGCGTCGAAGACGAAAATATTGATACATAATTACATATTCTACAGAGATGGAATGCTAAAAATCTGGGTTAGAAAAATCTGAGAACTTGAATCCAAGTCCTTGGCCTACAATGAGCTGTGTTCTGGCGGCAATAGTGGCTTGTTCAGGACATCAAGATGGAATGATTCCTACAGCTGTGCTTTGTATAGAGTAGAATTTGTCAGCATCTTAAGGTTATCTGTTAACAAGCCAACCTGGTTTGAATATGATATCTCGCTTGAAGTTACGTCCTGTGACTGATGTGGACTCACCCTGACGACGAAAACACTGCACCAGAAAGATGTAGGTAAAATTCCAGTTTTAGATTTAAGTAATACTGTAGCAGGTATATAAATCTAAGGAAACAAAACTCTGTTATGATCATTTTCAAAACAAAGTTATGTAGGTCCCACAATGTCTGTAGGTCAAAGGTTCCAAAAGTTGCATTAAGATAAAAGCTGTTTACTAGCATTTCTCATAAAGGAGAAACTTCTCAAATTTATATTTCCCCACAAGAATAAGAGAGCAAAAGGGAAAATCATAGTTTTCTAGGCACCAAGGCGAGGCTAAGCGACAGGGGGGTGCCTAGTCGCCTAGGCGATGGATTTTTTTTAAGTAAAAACATGTATCCTAGGGTAGTTCCCTAGGTTCCATAATCTATTTCCTTAATAAATATCCATGATTTTCATAAGAAAAGTATAAACTTCATGTTAAAGTATAGAAAATCAACATATTCATGAGAAGAAAAAGAAGAAAGAAAAGAAAATTCAAAAAATATAGGGGCTGAACCCCTATTCTGTTATAGGAAAGAAGAAAATAAAAGGTGGAAGAAGAAGAAGAAAATGTGTTGATTCGACAACATTTTATGTTCTTTCTTACTTATTAGTTCAGGTTTTGAAGTCTTTGAGGGTTCAATACAGCATTTAGCAATGTTTGTGTTGATTAAACCCTAACAAATAAGAAAATAACAAAAAGAAATTAGCATATAAACACACAAAATGAATATTTTAGTTTAAAAATGTCTATTTATAATTATAACCTCAAAAAATTAGGAACATAAAAGTTTGTTATAACACACTATATAAAACTGCTTGGCGATTAGGCAAGGCGAGACTCCAAGGGCGCCTTGCCGCCTAAGCACCCGCCTAGGCGTCGCCTTGACAACTATTGGGGAAAATGGAATGAAATAAGGACAGAACATACAAAATCAACATCCTATTGTTCAAGGGAATTCACAATCTCTGATTTAACATTTTAATTTATAACATCATCAGAAGTAGCAAGAACAAGAATTGCACTATTAACCAAGCAACCTCTATGTACTCTCTGGCAGAGAAGAGAATATTACCAACCTTGTAACAAACAATAGAATCATCTGGATACATTGCAAATAGCTTTGTGCCAAGGCGGGAATGACAGGAATCACACAGGCTCTCATCATTAATCTGGACATGCCTTGATCTCTCCTCCAATCTTGATAGCCTTGTATCTATGTCTATGGCGCGGGAAAGATTGTGTACAATCTAAGAAAGGAAATTAACTTATCAATCCAACCAAACTGATGGAAAGCAATTTTCAGAACCTACAAACTATTGTAGAGTGCATGAAGGACAAGGGAAAGCAATTTAATCTGTAATTACCAATCTTACTATAGGACAAGAAATGAGGGATCAGAGAAAAGTGAAGGGGATTTTACTGTTCCTATAAATTCACTTTAAGAACTCTCTGTAAGGAGGGAATAAGAGAGGCAATTAGAGCTAAGGTGGTGATTTAGCAATGGAGAAGAAAAAACATCAATAAGAAGAACAAATTAGTAACAGAAGTTCCAATAGACTAACATTCAATCAATATATGAAATACTACTGTGAACTAAAGATGAAGCGTAATGTAGTTAGCACCATTAGGCTTCTCTAGGCACCAGCAAGTAGAGATGGAGTTAGTACCTTCGTAAGTATGTAGTCAGAACCAAACACGAAGTAGAGAAACTCTTTGTTCATTCTTTCATTTATTCATCAATTGCTCAAATGAGCTAATACATAGAGTATATAAAGAAACACAATAGATCCTCTAAGATCTACAAAATATTTGAGTTTCCTAAACACAGAAAGAACTAAAAATACTTGAATTACAAAACCTATTCATAATATATTGAAGATTTGAAGTAAATCTTGAAGAAACATCCTTGTTAATAGCTAATGGTAAAATTTATTTATTGATTAAAAGAATTGTTATGTACAAAGTACCAAGCACCTCATGGTACAGGCCAGCCTAAACTGCCTAATGCCTTCCTTCTTTTGAGATAAAGCTATTGTCTTACAAATATCCCCCAAAACATCTGGCCCCTGTTTACCCCTTGTTTAGAAAATTTATCAACCAAGGGTTTGATGATCTTTTGCCCCATGAATAAGTGATTGTGAGATCCTTTTCCAGATGCCTTATTTCTTTCGTAATGTTTCTATACTGCCATGAGCTCTCAGTAGTGCTTCTCAGCCATCCTACTACCACTTTGGAGTCGCCTTCCACAACTAACTTCCCGGAATTAAGTGATCTGTTCCATCTCAGCCCCCAATGCCTCATACTCCCGGGTTTCCCATGCTACATCAGTCAAAGTTCAGCATAACAGGATTCTGATCACAAGGGATTAAATGTACGAAAGGGAGAGATCTAGCTATGAAAGATTGATCCAGTACTGTCAATTTCTTAGGATATCATTAGTGGGTCCACTTGTTGACAGCTAATGATTAGGCCTTCTAGAATGGGTAAAACTTGGTGGCCCTTGGGCTCAACTCAATGTGTTGAGATTGCTTAGACAGGGGTGTTTTTGGACCTTTTTTCTCTTCCTTGTACTCTTTTTGTATTTGGGCGCCCAAGTAGGGGCTTCCTTGTAATTTATTCAAAGTATAAAGATCTTTTGAGGGTGCGAATAATAACAAGAACACACCTCTCGACACATTTCTTCTTCTTCTTCTTCTTCTTCTCTCCTCTTGCTTTCTCTCTTCTAAACCCTAGTTTTAACTTTTGCTTGTCAACTTGGTAACAGAGCGGGTATGGGCACTTGGGAGTACCTCTCCTGCTGATCCTCTCTCACGAGGTGAACTGCTGACGTCAGACCGCCACCGGATGACATCAGCAATCCGTACAGGTGTCGGCAACAGCCAATGAAACTTACATGGTTTGATTCTCCCTGATTCTAGAGGAATTTTGGTATGACTCTTGCCCTCATACGAAGGTTCTATGATTTTTAATGATTTCTTCAAGGAGAAAATCGCAGAAATTTCAGATCTGATGTCGAGACTTGTGCATCATGTTTAATGGCTTCTTCTGCTGTAAAACCTAGACCATTCAGGTCATTTTACTCTTTGGGAATGATAGAAAGTGGTCCCGTAATTTTCTGAGCTCTGTATAATTTTTAGGAGTTTTTTTTCTCCCATTATTTTGTTGCCAATTTGGTTTTTTGGCCTTCTTTTGTATCTTAACCGTGTGGTGACCTTGGTTCTTGGGTCTACGGCTTTGGTTAAGTATTGGGAGCCTTTTTTGGTTGGCGAGAAAGTGTCTTTATAGAATATGGAATCATCTAAGGATGTTCGGATGGTTTCCAGTGTGTTCCCGGGAAGTGCAAATATTGCTAGTGGGATGACAACTACAGTTAAACTTGATGGAACCAATTTTTTAGAGTGGTCTCAATCTGCTAAACTTACCATTACTGGGAGAGGTAAACTGAGATTCATCACAGGAAATGAGGTGAAGCCAAATTTCGAAGACCCGAAATTTGCAAAGTGGGAACAGGATAACTCCCTTATTATGTCATGGCTGCTTTGCTCAATGCAACCTCATATTTGGGATAGAGTTATTGGCACTTATTCCCAAGTTAACAATACAACTACTAGAATGTACCAGCTTCGGAGGGAAGCTTGTAGTATGCGTCAAGGGAAGAGATCTGTGGCTATATAATTCTCTTCTCTACAATCTATTTGGGAAGAAATAGATCACTTGAAAGCACTCGTATGGAAGGACCCTGAAGATGGCGAGCAATATCAAAAGTACATAGAGGAGAACAGAGTCTTTGATTTCTTGGCTGGCTTAAATCCAGAGTTTGATTTTACCAGGCAACACATTCTTAGTGCTGGCATTATCTCTCTTGCTTCCAGTTACTCCCTTGTACAAGGGGAAGAAAGTTGAAGGACCACCATGATGCAACCTCCTATGATTGATCACTCTGCTTTTATGTCATCTCGACCCAAGCAAAATACTAGCAAGCACCCTATTACTGAGAAGGCTAAAGATGTTATTTTGATTATTGCAAGAAGCCAAGACACACTAAGGAAAAGTGTTGGAAGCTCAATCCTCATTTAAAGCCAGAAAAGTACAAAACTGAGAAGAAGGGCAATGCTCACTTGGCTACAGTTGGTAATGGTGTTCAACCTTCTGATGTGCTTGACCCCTCTGACGTAATGGACAAACTTAGGAATATATTGTTGCAGCTGGAAAAGGGTGGTACATCCTCCTCATCTGGTTCTGGACCTAGTAATCCATCTAGTTCATATGCCAAAACAGGTACTGCACTTGCTTGTTCCACATCTTTTAGCCCATGGATTGTAGACTCTGGAGCCAGTGCCCATATGACTGGTATACCCTCACATTTTACCTCATATAAGTTAACCCTAGGGAAGAGCAAGATTACTGTTGCCGATGGATCTTAGACCCCTATTTCGAGTCAGGGTGAAGTGAAACTCACTCATAACCTTTCTCTTGGATTTGTTCTTCATGTGCCTGGCTACATAAAAAATTGTTGTCTGTTAGTTCTCTCACGAAATCCCATAATTGCTCAGTGAATTTTTTCCTACCCATTGTGTTTTTCAAGACCTGAGCACGAGGAAGATGATTGGAAGTGAGCAGCATGAAGTTGATGGAGTCTACCTCTTTAATGAACCTTTTGAGCATGGACTGTCAAGCCAGACTGAGTTTTGTTCAAATGAAAAAAATGAGCCTTTTGAAATTATGGCACTGTCATCTTGGTCATATGTCTTTCAATTCTGTAAAACTTTTGTTTCCAAACTTGTTTGACTGTGTGCCAAAGTTGAATTTTGAATGTCAAGTTTGTTATCTATCTAAACAATGTAGAACCAAATATTTTGCAAGTAGTAAAAGAAGTAATGTTGCTTTCCATTTGATCAATACTGATGTTTGCGGCCCATATGCTATCCCTTGCATGGGTGGGTATTAAATATTTCATCCTCTTCATTGATGACTATAGTCAGTATACATGGCTCTACTTGATGAAAAGTCAGGATGAAGTTCCTATGATTGTTCAAAACTTCATGAATATGGTAGAGACTCAGTTTGAGAAAAGAGTGAAGATAATAAGATCTAGCAATGCCAAAGAATACTTTGAACATTAGTTGCATAAATTTCTTGAAGATCAGGGTATTATTCACCAAAGTTCATGTTGTCATACTCCACAACAAAATGGGGTGGCTAAAAGGAAGAACATGCATGTCGTTGAAGTTGCTCGTGGTCTACTGTTTCAAACTCATGTTCCCACTCGTTTCTGGGGTGATGTTGTTGAGACAAGGGTCGTAAACCTTCATTCTCCTCATTAACTCCTCTTCCCCAATGAACCTCCTTTTAATCTACCCCTCAAGATCTTTGGTTGTGTTTGTTTTGTTCATGATATGAGTCCCTCCTGGCATAAGTTTGATCCTAAATCAGTTAAATGTGTATTCATCGGTTACTCTCCAGTCCAGAAAGGCTATAGGTGCTTTGATGCTTTATCTGGCAAGAAATATGTCTCTGAGGATGTTACCTTTTTGGAGTCCTCTTCCTTTTTCCAGTCATCCCATCCTTCTCTTCAGGAGGAGAATGCGAGTGAAGATCGGACTCCCTTTTGCCTTCCTGTTCCTCCCTCTCTCTTCCTTGTAACGATGGTATTTCTTCTCCTCCTCCTCCTCCTCCTCCTCCTCCTCCTCCTGTGTATCGACCTCGGTCCTGGCAGCAGTTTTTCATCAGGTGCAGTAAGAGAGTGGCTCCTAAAGTAGAGTGCCCATCACAATCTGATTCCCCAGACTCAGGTAATTTTGAACCTCCTAGCAATCCTATTATTGATTCTAACTTTTAATCTTCCTATTGCCATTCAAAAAGGGAAGAAGACATGTAGCAAATATCCTTTTACTAACTATGTGTCTAATGATGCTCTCTCACCTTCCTATTGTGCCTATATTTCTTCCATCTCTTCTGTTTCCATCCCTCGCAGTGTTACAAAGGCAATGCAGTCCCCTCACTGGAAGGAAGCTATGAACCAAGAAATGGAGGCTCTAATAAAGAACCAGACTTGGGAGGTTATTTCTTGCCCTAAAGATAAGATTCCTGTTGGGTGTAAGTGGGTTTATATTGTTAAGCACAAGGCAGATGGCTCGATTAAGAAGTACAAAGTTCGACTTGTAGCCAAAGGATACACTCAAACTTATGGCATTGATTATCTAGAAACCTTTGCTCCAATTGCTAAAACGAACTCTATTCGTGTGAT